AACATTTAGGGAATAAAACCTTGGGACACGAACACCTACGTTGCCTCTCAGAGGGTATTCTATTGGCAGCCTCTGTCTAAACAGGAGAATTTGACTGATTATTAAATGCATTGTTCATGCCTTTTGAAGAAATGGAAAGAACACTGATTGAAATTAGTCCAATCATGCATTTGATGACAGAGGGAACAAAACCTAAATGTACATTTTTATAACTATTCTATAACTATTCGAACCTGAATTATGTTTTTTTTTTTTTGACTATAGTTTTTGTATAAAATAATACAACTATATTAATGATAATACTAAAATTCTAATAATAAATAGCAATGGGAGTCAAATCGATTTGATTCGAAACTAGAATCAGTCCAATTTTTGAATCAGTTAAGGACAATTTTACTTGGATATGGAAGTCATTAGCTAAAGAACTAATGAAACTACCTTTAGTAAAATTATGAATATTAAAATTAAACTTTCACCTCATGCATCCACATTCATCATGTAGCCTACCTTTTATTCAACAAAACAAAAATACAAAAAAATGTAAATAAATTCACACCACAGCAAAGGCTGCATAAATAAAGTGCCTACAAAACATTGCAAACTTAAAAAACTCTCTTAATTTCCGTTTACTGTCTCACAAAGTTTTTGTGCAGATGTGAGTGATTGCAAAACCAATCTTTATCATAATGATATAACATGTAATGGTTATATTACACCCACCCCTTCATTTTTGGGATTGATGCTTCACGTAACTGTCTGCACGTGAGTAAAACATAGAGTAGCTCCAGAATTCTCACAAGGCCACAGAAGCTGTTATCTTCAACCACGCTGTGGGGTTAAATTTCCTTACAGATAAATGTAGTGACAGCCTTCGTAATTTTCTGGGCTCACAGAGAGATTGCCGGTAACTTGCACACAAATGACTTCTCAAGCTGCATTTGCTTCGGGGCAGATAGGGTTTGCGGGTGGTGTGTCATTAAAAGGTTCGTTGTGTTGCCACATACTTGACCACTCTTGCATACCATTCGGCTCTTATCCAGTTCATTGCTGCTGTCATCTTTTAAAAATCGGAAACATTTCCGATTTTGTTGGTGGTGCTTTCAAGGGTTTTTTTCAATCCTGTTTTTTTTTTTTACACTACTCACACTGTTGGTAACGAGAACTCACATTGTCTCCTGATAACTCACATGGTGGTTTAGGGAAAAGACATATTTAAAAGATTGAATGAAGGGTGTTATGAATCAATATGGATATGGAAAGGAAAATAAATTCAAATTGATTAATTGATTTTTTTCAACCCAGCCCTGGTAACAGGCCAGACCATTGGTGGTGCTAGCAGAAGTCGTATTGTATTATAGATTCATATTGGAAATATTCTGTCCTGTGGAACCAACTACCAATCAATGAGGCAGACACCCTGTCTACTTTTAAGGATAGGCTTACAACTTTCCTTTTGATAAAGCTTATAGTTAGAGTGGCTAAGGTTATCCTGAGCTAACTCTATAGTTATGCTGCTATAGGCTTAGACTGCTGGAGAACATAGGGACCCCTTTTCATCATTGTGCTTCATTCTATCTCTATTCACCCACTCTGCAGTATCCGTTCTGCTCTCTCTGCTTTTTCTCATAGTGGCATCATCTGGTCTGTTCCTGTTTGACTGTGACTCCATCCTGGAGAGAAATATCAGCTGTGCTGCTGCCATCAACACCTTTTTTTTTATATAGATGTTGGAGATCAGCCTGTTTTTCAGTGTATTCCTGTTTCTCTGACTGTGACTGGATGGATGTGCTCTCTTTCATCATCGGAGTTTGTCTGCCTGGCTGTGTGTTTCCTGGACGGGGCCGCCTGTGGAGCTGGTTTACAGTTACCTTTTGTATCTCTGCTTATCTTTCTGTCTGCATCTGTCTCCTCGAACCCCAGTTGGCCTCAGCAGATGGCCGTTCATACTGAGTCAGATTCTGGTTCCGCTGGAGATATCTTCCTGTTCAAAGGGAGTTTTCCTCTCTATTGTTGCTGCATGCATGGTCGGTTTGATAGATTTCTGAAAAGTCAAACTAAATGCAAGCTACTATTGTTGCAACAAGCTCATCCAGGAGGATCATGTCCTGCACAGCCATGACTTGATGCAATGAGATGGTTTTCCTTGATAGAAACCTTTAACCAATCTAATTCAATTATCTCTATAAAGTGCCTTTAGTTGATGTGTTGTGAATTGGTGCTGTATACTGTAATAAACAGAATTGGAATTGAGCTGCTGGTAATCTTCTAAACTTTCCTTCATTAAGTCTGTCCTGTGTTTGTCAATCTGATTGAAATCATCCATAAAATAGGTCCAGACTGCAGTGAGGAGACATACAGAATGGATAATCTATAATAACATTACTGTACAATGTGAAAACTGATTGGCTAGAAGTTATTGATGGGTAAGGGAGTGCACTAGTTTGGTATGAACAAACATTTAATTTTGTGAGTAGAACATGCAAAAATTAGTAAACTTTCAAGGGGTTTAGATACCTCTACAAGTCTTTGTGTAATCCAACACTTAATATAGATGGATTCTAACCTTTAATGGTGATAACAATGCCCGAGCTGTTGGAATGGAAGATCGTGTCATTGAACTGGTTTAAAGCCATACAGCTGTAGGTGCCGCCGTCTTTAGAGGACACTCTGTGAAAGACAAAGATTATTACATTTCTCTAGTCTCATACCTCTAGTTTTACTACTCGTAAAAACAGTATTGTTTTTAACAGCCATCTTAGATTTAGTCTTAGTTATAGTCTTCTCAATGAAAACTGTTATAAGTTTTAGACATATTTTAGTCATTACTATATGTGATAGTTTTAGTCTAGACTAAAACCCAAGATGTTAGTCTAGTATTAGTCATATGTTGCACTTCATATAACAGTTAACCTTTACAATTCCGACTACCAACCAGATTCTTTACCAGACTGACAGTTTTGCCCAGATTGCTGGGTATAGAATGCTGCCCTGCAGTTCATCATTGCTGTTGAGCAGAAAACTGTGATTTATAGAATCCAAATAAACTTTTTTCATGAATCAATGCCCTACTTTATGAAATAGTGTCTCACAAAAGCTGTGAAAATAGCAAAACTAGTTCAACACATCATATTGGTTAATATAGCAGAAAGACAAGCTAGCAAAATGTACAATAAAGGAATGGTTTTAGACATACAAAGTTTCCATCCAAAAGCAAACACTTCGTAATATGCAATTAATTATGCATTACACACAGATCAATAAAATCTTCTTACCTCCAAAAAAAAAGCAAAGAACCAAAAACATTCTTCTTTCTACTTTGGCAATTTTGGCTTTATTTACCAGTATATATTTATTTGGCTAAATTTTGAAATATAGAAACAAGAACTATAAGAAAGAAATATTAAAAGATCTATGTACTTTTTCACCTGGGATTTTATCCAAAAATAAACGGTATGCAATGACATATTTGCTTTGGATATAACTTAGGGGTTCTTTTTGGTAGAAATTAAAGAATTCGAATCACCTCTTGTGAGTGGGAAAAAATTAAATCTTGATAGTTGGACAAAGTAAATTTTTATGCTTGTCTTAGATGATAGATGATCGGCCAAAAAAATTTAATTAAGTAGCGAGGGCTGGAAGAGCCATCAGGCTAAGAGCGAACCGTCAGTGTGGAGGGAGAGAAGCCCAGACTCTGAGCTATGTGAGTGCAAATACGCATTTCTGCATTAACACAGCTGGAAGAGCAGAATTTGTCAGCGTTGAGCATGCGGTAATAGACCATTCAGGCTTATTTCACCCCTGCCGCTGCTGCCATGGTCCATCTGTGGTTATGCAGAATGTGCAGTGCTGCACGTCAGTTGGGTGTTATGACCAAACCGACGCAGCAGATTTAGCTTTAGCTCAGTTTTTGGTATTGTCATGGAAAAAAGAAGCATCAATTTCATCATCATCATCATCATCATCATCATCATCATCGTCATCGTTGACGAAAACAACACTGCATACAAACACTTATCAACTAAAATGGAGACTTTAAATTCTATTTTAACCTTTAAGACCTTGTTGTGCTTTGATTTGAACAAGATTAAATTTAAAATGTCATAAAAGACAGGCAAACGAAATAGCCCAGCGCAAATCTTGTTGCAATAATTTAATGCATTTTGAAACCCCTTTTTTAGTGTTTCAACCATCGAGGACCTGAAAACAAACATCTCCCAAACAGTTTGTTAAGATGACTTTTTGTTTTCATGTTTACACATTTACAGTGATGACAGAGAAAAGGTCCAGGTCTGAATACGTCTATGTTAAACTAAATGTATCTGCTAGGGTCTTGTGTGAGCAACAGTTTGGATGTTGGCTTGTTGGCTTATTCAATTACTGTGTTTACAACATAGTAAAATATGAACTTATAGCAATAGTGTACTATTCTTTTCTTATGGTTATAATCAGAACATGTTAATAAACATCATAGACATAAATCTGTCATATATTGTCCAAGGTAAGCATCTCCTGATGTAGTGGCACCTTCTTCGTGGATTTTGCACTAACCTTGGGATTATCAGCCAGCTGTCATTCATTCCTTGGCGATGTTTAGTGATGGAATACTTATTGAGAAAAAATTTATAGTACACATTACTTCCAGCTGCAGCTTTACATTGTAGCTCTAGTTTGTCTCCTTCAAAGATCTCTGTTGGACCCTCGTGAAGAATTTCTGCACCTCTGACAGGCTCTACAAAAAAGTGAAAACAAAATAGGTTTTAAAAATCTGCTGTCAGGACAGAGAAAATCAAAATATTGTTTTCTGTTAAAATTATTTTTTAAGATGGCTATGTTTTGATACCATGTTTTGTGTTTATTTTGGAGATGTTAATGCTTCCTAAATGATGACATGTACCTACTCGCTATTTGATTTTATTCATGTAGAAAAACCCTCTAATGTGACCTAATTAGTTAGAGTTAGACTTAGACAACTTTAATTGTCATTTTGCATACACTCTGTGTATGCAGTTTTCTTTATACGGCTTTCTGAAAATGAATGAGCAGCATCTTAGCAGTAAATAACATGTCCATTCATATAGTCCAGCAGTGATCAAATGTAAACAGTGTAGGAGAGACTTGGTGCAAAAAAGCATTGATGTGGAAGTTCGGAGCAGTGCAAAAGTAAATAAATATATGGTGCAAAAATGCAGTAGAATACATTTGAGTTGAGTTATTTTAGGTATGATGTTATCAGTGTGATGCAGAGTCTCGATTTGTTACAATGTATATATGTGACTATTATGTAATTAAAACATTTCATCAAGGATGACTGTGCCAAAACTCCTCCACAGTAAAAGATTATCTAACATTTATCACAAATGCTTGGTTGCAGTTGTTGCTGTAACCCAACCAGTCATTAGATTAAGGGAGTTATCCACTATCATATTGAATATCCATCCATCTTCCGTATACGCTTCTCCCAAGTGGGGTCAGAAGGGGTGCTGGTGCCTATCTCCATCTATCTACAGGGCAGAGGCATGTTACACCATGGACAGGTTGCCAGACCACCACAGGGCAACACAGAGACAAACAGGACAAACAACCATTCACACAAATTCTCACACCTTAGGAGAGATTATAGAATCCAACCTAACAGTCATGTTTTTGCACTGTGGGAGGAAGCCGGAGTACGCAGAGAGAACCACCGCATGCTCAGGGAGAAGATGCAAACTCCATGCAGAAAGACCCCGGGCCGGGAATCGAACCCGGAGCCTTCTTGCTGCAAGGCAACAGAGCTACCCACTGCGAAACTGAGCAGCACTATACTGTATAACATGATTTAATAATATTATGTAACCCTATATTGTCATATTTGTCAGACCTTATATGTAAATGAAATATTTTTTTATGAGAAAAACAATCTAAATTCCAAACAGAACTTACCAAAAACCCTAAAGAAGTGTCCTTGGCTCACAGTAGCATTTATCTCAGTGTTGTTTTGTATGCTGGCCTCACACTCAAGGTAGCCCTCATAGAAATCCTTGATTTCCCTGGGAAAGACACCGATTTCCTCATCGGGTGGGAGGGAGTACTCTCCCAATATCTCTTCACGGTCATCCTTTCTGAGATCAGAAATATAACATATCTCCTTTTAACTTTTTTTAAAAACCAAATGCATTTACCTCAAAGTGTAACCTGACAGTACGTACTTGAATAATCTCAGAAGGATCGTTTCATTAGTTAGTTGATTTTTAATCTCACACGTAAAGACAGCGATTTCTTTCAGCGAAGCCACTGAAGGGCCCTGGAGACGTGGTCTGTCCAGCTGGAACCCATCTGTAAATAAAAATCTGAACTTAAAGAACCTGAAGATAACATTACCTGAAAGCACACAATGATAGATTTCTACTCACTGCTCTCGTTTGTGCAACACCACAGCACTACACGAGGGAGGAAGAATTCAACTTAAGTCATCTAATAAATAAACTTGATGCCTGATAGTGTTTATGGTGGTTGGCTTACCCAGGATGATCAAACATGTGGAAGCAAACATGCTGGAGTCTTTTACACTGTAAGCGGTTTCACTTTATGTAAAACAGGGCAGAATAACTGACAGTTTTAACTGGGTGGAAACTGTGTCTGATGACACCACAGTCACAGTCAGAAAAATGTGCAAGCAACTGATAGGGCTGCAGCACGCAACGCCTCCTGAACTAGTACGCCCTTCTCATCAGGTAAGCTGGACTGAAAACATCAAATTTGAATCTAAAGAAATTAGACACACAGTGAAGCAAAACAATTTTCTTTTCTTTCACTTATTTAATGGAAAAACACATTTACATCTTTAAAATATGTTCATTTGAAAAATGGCAATATACAGTAGTTGTTAGATACCATTTCTCGCTCTTTAGACAGGAATAGCAGAATCTTAGAATATTATTGAATACATATGTGATAAATAATTTAAAACATTTTAAACAAACAATGATTAAAAAGGATCAGGATATTCTTGGATGTCTTCATAATGTGAATTCAACAGTCTGAAAAGGAGACAGAGAGACAATCATGTATTTTTTGCTTATTGTTTTTCTGTTAAACACAATGCAAAGTTTAGATTAAATGAGTAAAATGATAAAAATCAAATAGATCTGATACATTAAAAAACCCCAAAGCAATCTAATCGTGTAAAGATATTTTAAAGTATTTTGCATCTTTCTATAATTCTTTCTTTCTTAATGTTTTGAACAATGAAATAATTCTAGAAATATCCTTTAATGGTGTTTATGTAAAAAGTGTAATTGCAAACTGAAAATGGTGTCATGAAAAATGTATTAGAAATTGTCTATCTAAGATATAACTGATAAATACAAAAATATCACTATAAATAGGACATTTAAAAAATGTGATATCGAGAAGTTGATGAGGTCCAAAGTAGATAAACCTTAATGTAAATATGTTCAGGTATAATAGAGGACTAAAAATCACATGTAAAGGAGAACTGTAAAAAACAAAATGACCAAAAGTGGCTTATAAATCTATTGCAGCAAGTGAAGATTAAGTATAAAAATACAGATTTGGCTATGTTTAACATATCCACTTAATGAGGTGATTAAAAAGAAGTAGAAGTTCTATCAAAAGTAGATATCAGGACATATGCCATGCCTCCAGTGGCACTGTGACACTGCTGCAAAATTACACCGGAGCCAATAACAAAAATACTTGCGGTGTGTACGAATTTCCTGCAAGGTAAACAAAGGGCTCTTTCTGAATATATGAAATCGATAAGGAGACTTAAGCTAAGGTGGATAAGCGTCCGCGGTCGCCATGATAAATGCTATGAGGATAGCCCCGAGAGTAGAAAAGAAGCTAGGAAGAGGAAGCAGAATGCTTCCTATCCCAACAAGCTTTTGTAATACTGTTAGAGGAGTAAAGAAATGGAAGAAGTTTGATCAAGAACTAAAACAATGTAAAGCCATTCAACCATTTAAAAGAGATAAAAATAATAATTTCAAAATATGTCAACAACGACTAAAAACAAAGAAAATGAAAATAGACAAGCTATCATGGTTCTGAATGCAGCTTTAAAAGGAAGCTATTTGTATTTTTGCGGACAGAGGTGAGTTTACAAAAGTACTTACTTCTGCTCACTATGCTATGCAGACATGAATAGCACTATCATTCAGAAATAGATTTTTTTATTGTTTTTATGTATAGATGCAATGGATGTTTAATGTAACTAAATTTTTAAGAGGATTGAGAGAAGGGCTGGGACGACTATTATAATCTCCAGCTGCACAGAGCAAAGAGTACCATACTGTAGCACCCCCATTCTTGTCTCAGACCATGACTCTTTTCAGCTGGCTAAAAGAGAGCTGCTACAAAAAATATGCATTTGGAAATATCTCTAATTTTGAAAATTGTAGAGTCGTGATGTAGAAACTAAAGGACTGAAATCAATCGCCCTGCTTAAAACCTACAGCTGGTAAACTGCTATCATGATAGCAGCTGACTGCAGGATCATTAATCCATCTGACAGTTGGCTAATAAAACTACCTATATCAGCTGTTTGCCATGGCAACAGCTAATGGGGATCCTTAATAAAATTACAAATTACAAATATATCAGCTATATTCTTTTTAAAATTGTTATATCTGTGAAGATTGGAACGACTAATCTGTTTCTGCTCTGTAAGTCCTACCCTGGTCCCGCCTTTGAAATGAGACTCTACCCGCTCCCTTCCGGACTGATATGCACTATATAATGATTAACTCAGTCTGGCTCACCAGGCGAGATATTTGCTGCATCCAGGTTTAAATAAGAAACAATAAGTTAATGCTGCTACTTGTGTAGTTTCAATTTTTGTGTAAAATCATCCTGTGGTTTTAGCATCTTCATATCAAGCCTGGTTGATAACAATTGTGGAGATATTTTGAAGTAACAATGTTTCAAATAAAGTATATCCAAGTAATTTCATTCAAAATCAATGCAAGCTAAGAGTATTATCAAAATGTCATTGTCTGAACGTGTGTCTATGTGTTTTGCCTGATATTGTATTATGTGATCTTGTGTTGTTTTGTCTTCCTGCCTCAGGACAACAGATGTAAATTAGCAACTATGCTATAATCTGGCTCATTTACAATCTGTACAGAAGTATAAGATTGTTCATTAATGTGCTCCGTCCTGACTAAATAAATAAATAAAATGCAAACAAGATAAACTAAACAATACTAGAATTATTAACAGTTCTGAGAGCATGAACAAGGTGTGATAAGAAAATATTCTGAACACTGTTACACATACAGCTAGAGTTTATGTCCACTTTATTGTTACTCTATCTTTATTAGCTTGACACACTATTAAAACAACAGACAACCTCAGTTTGTTTTTCAAAAAACAAAAAAAAAACACTCAGTCTTTAGCAATACTCAATATTCTGTCTTGAATGGGTTCTTTTTGGCACCAAAAACAAAGTATTTTAATTCTGGTGCTGTGTTTACCTGGTTGTGGACATCACAGGATAATGTGTCTGCTTGCAGACCCACAGACTGAGACTGGGGTCCAGAGAGATGAAATGATATTGTGCTGAAATAATGAAAAAATACGCATTACAGATGCATTAACTTGCTGACTCGTTAATTCATAGATTAATCTATTTTAGAGAAAGTGGAAAGCTTACTTGGTTGCAGAAACATTGGTAAAAGCTGTAAAAAAAAAAGACACACGTAGAGAAGAAAAATATTCAACTCCACATTTCACAAAGACAGATTTTGCACATGTTGACACACAGACCTTGGGGTTGGTCAAACATCTTGTAAACGCAGACTGAAGCCACTGCCAGCATCAAGAGAAAGAAGCAGCAGAAGACTATGGTGATAACATCTGAAAAAAGCTCTGTGGATCAGAAGATACCAAGTCATTAATGTAACTCTGCATAACATCCAAGTGTATTAATAGTGCATCATGTAATTTTTACTTTGGGACATTGTGGATGTGCAGGACGATGCTTGAGCCATTGAGTTCAGGTTTTCTTCTGATGGAAGAGAAAACGAGGGTAGGAAAAAAGGAAAACCCAAAGATTATATTTCAACCATAAAATTGGATTCATTTTATTTTATTGATGTGATAGTTCACAAAGAAATTTGCATGAACCTGTAGTGGGGGGAAATATCCAAGGTCTTCGATGTTTTTAAATAAAAATATGAAAAGTGTGGTGTGCTTTTGATAGTCAAAAAAACTTAATTGCTTTGTTTTTTTTTTTTGTTTTTTTTTGTAAACTAGCCCAAACTAAAGCTATATTGCACAGAAATCATCTGTTACATGAGTTTTCAAGTCCATATGTCCACTTACCATTTTAATCTTCAATCTTTAATTCTAACATATTATTAAGCATTTGTTTTAACATTTGTTTTAAGATTGTCCTGTATTTATCTCCTTCATTCTCCTTTCAACTAAATAGGCTTCCTTGATCCTGCTAAATAAACGCTTTCCCAAACCATAATGCTACCACCACCATGTTTAACATAGGGGATGGTGTATTCTTCTACTTTTTTTTCTTCTTCAAATATCTATTTATTCCAATATTTAACTCAAAGCTACATCTGAAATAAAACTGTTATGAAAAGTCTTAAAAAAGTCTTAATCTTCGCTGTATGTGGATGACTGGAACAGCTTAATAGTTGTGGATTGTAGTGGAATTGTAGAAAAGTAGTGGGTTGTTTAAAAATTAAATAATTTATTAATGATTGTTGTTGAATTGGAATACATCTGTATGATTCAGTTAAATAGGCTTTTTCATTGTAAAGTGTTTGTTTTTAAATTCGCAAAGGATAAATAAACAGAAATTATTTAGATTTTTGTTTCTCTTTCTTTCACTGCAACTACAAAGCTTAAAACTATGCCACCCCAAGATTTCATTGTTAAATTTGAACTTTTTGTGTAACTTGGATACAAAAAATATTCATTTTAAAAGGATCAAGCGTTCTCATGTATATTTAAAATTTTTCTGTACTGATTAAAAGATAGTTTAACATTTCCTGCCAATTGTATTGTTTTTCCCAGCTTTTATTGTCATTACACTGTCACAAGTACAGAGCAACAAAATGAACTCTCTGCATTTAACCCATCCATTGTGCAGCACCTGGGGAGCAGTGTGGGTTTAAGGGTCTTGCTTAGAGACCCAGAGTGTCAGTCTGTGGGAGATGGACTCAAACTCAGAAACTCAGGATACCAAGCTCTATGCCATACCACTAGGCCGCCACTCCCAACTTGAGCTTTTCCATCTAAAAGGGTGAGGGATTAGCTCATGTATCATGGCTGGTGCTCTTAAAATGCTTTGAATTGGGGTTGAGACAAAAACACTGCAATATAGTTAAAGTTTATTGAAGTTAAAGTAATACAATAGGTTCCAGAGCCCGGAACACAGCATATATTGCCAAATCATTCTTTAATATTTCCTGTTTTGTCCAAAAGTTCAAAGCATTTACCTTTCAATAAGAAGTTGGCCTACATTGAGAATGTTACAAAAGTTATTTTCTTTTGTATCTCCTCAACTTAAGTATTGAAAACATCTATAATGTAGAAGTCTGGTGGGTATTCTAGCCAAAACTGCACAGAAATAGGAATGAAACTGATTGAAAATCAGGTAATATTCTAAATAATATCCCATCTCACCGGTGATTTGGACCAGCACAGCTGCACTTTCTGCCCATGGCCCAGAGTCTTCATAGCTGTCTCTGGCCCTACAGCGGTAATACCCAGCATACTCTGCGCTGAATTCAGAGAGGATGAGGCCTTGTTTTTGGTGGGACAGGAACGTTTGAGGTTTGAAATCCTTTTGGGACTCAGTCGGAAGTATAGTGTTGTTTACTAGCCAGGAGAAGTGTGGGAACGTCCCTCTGCTGATGTGACAGCTAAGCTTCACAGCGTCCAGCTTGGCTTCAGCAGTGTACAGATAGTCAACTTCCAACCTTACATCTCCTCCAACCGGGACTTGAAACAAAATGGAAATGGAGTACAGAAGAGCATTGAGCTGAAAGAGGAAACCAAGAGTGTGGGTCACAAAAAAGCAAACACCTTCAATGTGAACCTCACCTACTTCCAGAGTGAGGGCCTCACTCTTCAAGTCCTGCGCCTCATTTCTCCCTCGACATCGGGCCTCTCCCATGTTCAGCCCAATGGCAACAGGAATCTTAAACCATGCAGCCAGTGATTTGGCAGCTGTGGCAGTTATGACCTCTGTGTCATCCAGTAAAAGAGAGAAGTTTACTGGTGGAGTCCCTTTTGAAGACCAGCAGGTTACATTTCCAAGGTAAGTATCCCCCTCTTTGAAAATGAAAAGGGAGATTTCTGGTTTTGAGATCTTAACTGTAAAAAAGAAAAGAGAAGAGAAGGTAAAAAGAAAAAAGTGTGTCTTGGAAGGGACTCAAATAAATCCCCATTTTATCCAACCATCACTGGAATGTGGGCTTTCTGGAAAATGTGCTTCAATTTCAGTACAGTTTATTGATATAGCGCCAATTCACAACACATGTCAGCTCAAGGCACATTACAGAGACAATTTAACCAGATAAAAGAGTTGATTGGTTAAAAATGTTCCATCTAGGAAAACCAGCTCATTGCACTTTGCCATTGACTCGACAGCAATCCCTCACAGTGACAATGCATGCAGCAACAGTAGAGAGAAAAGCTCACTTGTAACAGGGAGGTTTAATTGTTTAATACCTGCTTAAAGGTTGTTTCAAAAGGTACTTTTAATCTGACCAACAAGCCTTTTTATTTCAAAGCTGTTAAGATTGTGTAGGTTTCTCAGCTTACAGCCACGTCATGAATTGCGTAACATTGAATTGGAAGGAAGACAACAAAAAAAACTTTAAAGTTGTTGCATTTTTTTTTTTTCAGACAGATTATTGCAATGGCTCTAAACAAAATACTACATTATTTAGTAAAAAGTGTTCAACTGGGTGTGATTATATCTCAATATAAAACCATCTGTTCTCTGAATGGCTCTCAGGTTTATTAATAAGGGACAGCAGTTATGTCAGGGAGAAAATGATGCAGTTGTTTAAACCTATGTTAGGTTATAAACCATATACCACAGATAAAAAAAAAAAGAAATATCAAAACATCACAAACTAATCTGACAGACTAAGCAAGTGACCATAAGTCTGGGAAACACACTAGAGGCCCTTGGTAAATCTAGAGGTGCTGCATACATCCTCCAGTCAGGAAGGAGAATCAGTTAACATTTATTCATCCACTAAATAAATTCTGTGTTTGTTAAGAATATTTTTAGGCTCTAGTGGCCTTTATTTTTGTTATAATTTGAAAGTATGTAGAAAGGAAAGTGCGTTAAGAGAGGGGAGAGATATTTGGCAAAGATCAGCAGGGCCAGGCCCCTCAGTAGTGTAGTGGTCCCTGGACTCCTACCTGTGGCAACTGGTAAATGGGTCATGAGCTGTCCCTCGGCACACAGCAGCATTCCCACTTTTGTCAAAAAGGCAGTTTGTGTCATGTTGGTCTGATTCCTTGCAAGACACACCTGCTTTGCTTTGCCCCATTCTCATTACTACTCATCTCATCCAACTGCAACCATATAACCAGCCTTCACACCAAACATCAGTGCCAGATTATTTCAAGCCATTGGTGAGATATTTTCCTCCATTCTGATTCCTGACTTCCTGAGTGTTCAAACTGACCCTGATCTCTTTGTCTGCCTGTCCGTTGCCTAAGCTGGACATGTTTCTCGACCTCTGGATTTCCCTCCGGTGCTTAATTAGAGGTCTGATCACCTGGCTCTGACCCTGGACCCTGGTTTGTCCTCCTGTTCCTCCTTCCTACTGTTGTCTTTACAGTTCTGACCATCTGTCTGACCATGGATCATCATAAATAAGTGGTCAAATATACATAGTTAAACTTCAAATATAGTTATTAAAATTAATTAAAAGTGTGTTAAAATACGCTTGATTTCATGACTTGATGTTGAGCCCATGCTCCAATACGATAACCCCTCCACACTGGAGCAGCAGGATGCTGCCTCGCAGTCTTTATGTGAAAAACTGGTTAAGGCTTGAATCTCTGTGCACTGAGGCAACCATCAAGAAAGTAGGCCCCTGACTGGATTACACACAAAATTCTGTCATTTCAATTGAGGCTAAACCTCTTAGGGGCCCAACTGCAAACTGGCCCCGAAACACCACCCCGTGCCACTAAACCCCGCATTTGTACGTTTCAGCCAGTCTGGCATATTTAGGGCTGGTCCAAAGCACATAGTGTGTAGGGCGAGTGGACAGTTCATCCCTTAAAAAGTCAGTCTGCATCAGTGCAGGTTCAGATGAATTTGGCAGCGGTTGTAACGGTGGCCTAAAATGTGGAAGAAACACTTGCATTTAAATGTAAGCTGCGCTAGTTTGCTTCATCTTTGTCACATCGAGAGAAAACTACTGTATATGTTAGAAAAGAAAAAAAATGTCATCTTTAAATTAACTTTATTTGACTGGATAAATTTGACTAGTGTTCAATTAGGGTCAGGTCTGCCTTATTTGAGTGCTTGACGAGGTATTAAACCAGTGTATGGAAGACTTTGAAAAAGCCAAAAGTTGTATGAAAGAAGCCAGAAGAAGTAGAGTCCTGGAAACCCCTTCCTTCATCCCCGTCCCTTAAAGCATATTCATGATTTTCCAACTTTTAGTTGTAAGTTTTCTTTGGATTATCTGTATTCATAGCCTCATTTGGACACTTTCCTTACCTGTATGTTTCTGTTACGTTACATGTTTTTGTCAGTATTTACCTTTGACTGTCACTTTGACTTCTGTGCTGGTTGAATACCTGGTGATTTGCTGCACCATAGACCAAGCAATGCAGTTATAATTTCCCTCCCTCTCCAAAGTCACCTTCTCCATCACTAGCTTGTTCCCCACAATGCTGAAGCCAGATGTTGATGACATTATTGTGGTCCTGTTAAAATACCAGGTGTAGTTAAGGTGAGAACCACGTTGAGCATCACAGCTTAGGACAATCTGAGACCCCTCGAATGCAACCGGAGGGTAGGGGTCAGAGGTCACTCTGATATTAGATGGTGGGGCTAGAAAGAAGGTAAACCGCATCAGACTTTGATTAGACAGGATTAATATTCTGTAAAAAAATCCACCAGCTTATTACTTACTGACTACGGTCAGTTTGATCCTGTTGCTCAATCCTTGGCTTTCTTCAGTTGAAGCTTTGCAGTGATATGACCCATCTGAAGCTGCATTGACTTTTAGAGGAAACATTGCAGTGTTTTTCCTTTGACGGCCAACATTTCTGCCAACAACGAAACGTCGATCCCTTATCAGCATGTAGCTGACCATAGAGGACAGGTTGGGGACAGAACAGCGGAAGACTACCCGGGTATTGAGGTAGGCTCTGTCAGGACCAGACAACACTGGGCGAAGAGAACCGGATTCACCTGGAATAAGTGCAGTTATTTTTAGGTGAACAATGAAGACAATAAAATATATTTAATATGTATGATAAAATTATTAAAAACTCAACACTCTATAATAAATTAAGAAATTATAATAAATTAAGAAACTTGAAACACTATACACAACCTAGTGTCACCATTTTGGTCCTGATTGCTGATCTCCTTCACCTGTCTAGCTTTGCCCTGTTCCTCATCAGATCCACCTGTTCCGGTTTCCTATTTAAAGCTCCCTGTTTCCCAGCCAACATCGGCTTATAGATTATTCTTGAGCCTTTGGTGACGAGAGTTTTCTAGCGTACATTAGTGTTTTGATTGTCCGATCCTGATCCATTTTTGTCTTTGGACCTCTGATCCCACCTGCCTCTGTCTTATCAATTTGCCTGCCTGTCTCCTGTCAGCTCTGCAGCTTTTCACGTCTGGAAATCTCTGACAGCGCCCTCTGCTTCTGTTCAGTAGACCTGCTGGAACCATCTCCGTTCTTTGGACACAGGACTGAACTGTTAAACCAGGTTAGTGACTCACACGTACATAATCAGCCTCTGTCAGATTATTCGCAGTCACTAAACCTGTTTCTATCCAACAAAGCTTCAGTCATAGACGCTCTAGCTGCTGATCCCGCAGACCTACGGCCTGCTCCTGTGTTTAAAATAAACGGCTTTAAGTAATCCACTGTCTGTCTCGCCTGAATTCTCTGTCCCAGTTCTGAGCTTATTACACTTAGGAGACAGACAAAAATAATACCAGTAGAAATGAAATCAGAGCAAATATAACTTGGGTTGAAGGCCAGTAGACAAGAGTAAGTTTTCTAACGAGTTTTAATAAGCTATAGGAAAGCAGCCTATCAAATGTAAAAAAGTAGAAAGTTTCATAACTATCCTCTTCTGTCAAGTTAAACAAGGCTAGGTTTTTTAAGACCTTAAAAATGAACACAAGGAGTTTAAGATGGTGGCTTTGGTATATTTGCTGTGGTAACTGGTAAAAAAAGTAGTTTTAATATATTTTTAAGTGAGAGTGAGTCCACCTCAAAATTGTCTATGCTGTCAGTTTATCATGCTGTCAGAGCTGATCAGATCCCCACATTCCAGCGGTGCGCTGTCACTGGGTATTCCCATAAGCAGCTAGGGGTTTTCAGCTACTGTTCTTGGCAGCTGGAAGTAGATGTTTGCGTTTTTCATGTATGTGCTACAAACTGCAGGCACCAGAATAATAAAAGCAAACATATTTTGCTAGCAGGTTTCGACATTTTAAGTTAATTTAGACGTTAATAAACTGTTTCAGAGGACTGACTATTATTCTCTGCTTCAGCAGAGCTGTATTTGTCTCCCTACTCGCTCCTAGATCAGCTTCTTTGATTGGTTTATGTGGTGTGCCGAGCAGCAAAAGTACAATTTTGCATCGCATGCGGCGTTAATGTAGTCTGGCATTTACCAAGCAGATTCTAGCTGAAATACAAGCAGGGGGGTTTCAATAACATAACCCAGGAAAGTATCAACTGGTTTCAGAAAAAGCCAAGACAAAACGGGCCGAAATGGATGCCAGCTTCAGCTTCTATCACTTTGCCAGGTCAATAATCGTTCATGTGGTTAGTGCTTTGCAAAACTTGGTTTACATAAACTGGGATTTGGACGAGAACTGGGGGAAAACAGTATGTTCCCTTATATCAACGGAAGCCAAATTGTTTACGAACAGACTTAAAAATAGTAATGTCTGGAAATACACCAAGAAAGACCTGATTTCACTCGCGCAAAGGGCCAGAATAAACAAGATAAAATTGACAGCAAAAGACTGCCTGCAACGATGCCATCTTATTTTACAATCAATAATTGGCTCCATTAGTTACTTTTAAAAAAGTAAAAAAGAGACAGCTTTTACTGTAATAATTGTACAAAATGAGCTTTCGTAGCTTTTTTTGCGAATTAACACAAAGCAGTAAAAAAGTGAAGCTGAAACCATCAATTTAAAGAGTAAAGAGAGAGAATTTAAACCATTGCTAGCAATGGTTGCCGAATGGATGCATTCATCTCCCTCTTTGTTGACATAGCAGCCTTAGTAGCAACAGCTCGCTAATACTGTATTTATATATAGATTTTTAGAGCATTTGTGATATTATCTGGATCTACTTTTTTATTCAAACTGCCTACTGTCTCCAGTAATCCTCCAGTAATCCTAAAGCAATCCTCATGAAAGCACTTAACATGATATATAGATCATCAAGAACTTCGGGAGGTGGGGAAGGTGCTGCTGTGCTGTTTAGGCTTCATGATGAGCAAAAGTCAGTGGGATTTCCTCACGGAATCATGTTGCTACAAGCCGCTCTCCATGTGAGGTTAGACCCAATGAAGGTTTTGTCTAAGAACCTTAATCTAAGAAAAGTGCTATGTGTGAAGAATGGCTTTGGAAGGTCCTCTAAAAGTAAGTTCTTACAATATTCCAGGGCCAATCTAGATCTGATCAATGGGTTTTCCAACATCATAAGGTGGATGTAGTAATGACTTTCCTCAAAGATCATAAGTGAGACATTTTGGATCTATGGTGTGGAATCGTCCTGCTTCTTAACCCCGCAAAGAACCTGCAGTTAGATGTCATGTAGGAGGAGGATAAACAAAACTTGAGAAAATAAAAACAAAACTGAGAAAAGAAAGGGCCTTTTTAAGTCAGGATTTGGCCAAGAAGTTGATATTTAGTATTTTCAAAATGAATATTTGCCTATAAAATGCTTCAAAATACTACTGTTTTACACAAGTACACTATATTAACATATAAGAAGTCAAATATATAACCCCAAATATAATATCCCACTTTAACATATTCTTACAACTTTTTATTGCTTAGATCAACTATATTAAAGTATTACCTTTTTTCCTAGTTACTAGTAAACAGAGCTTCATATAGGTCACTTACCTATAGTGATGAGCAAAAATGCAAGAGCTAAAACAACAAAAGGAAGGAATAGTATTAGACTAGCAAATACATTTTTTTTTATGTTCAATATAGTTCAATTAACTCACCCAAAATTGGCAAAAGAAATAATGCTTGATGGTTCTTCATAACAGGGCTATGAATTTCTTTTGCACGGTTCCTTCTACATACATGTCTGTGTCTCAGTGTTTGTGCAAGAGTGGAAGTGGGTCATGGCAAGGTGCTGAGACACATATGTTGTGGATAGATAACAGAACAGAGGGAATGTTTTGCTGCATTGCATTGATGTTATCCAAGGAGGCTTTACATACATTTGGAGCGAACAGTTCAATAAACAAGCACATAAGTACTCACAGCCTATTGAATAATGTTAGATTAACATTTATGGGATATGAATTGATATCATTTAACTCATATCCTTTCATCTTTATTTCCCGTTATCACAGAAGATGTTGATTTTGGTTTAAATCTATGACAACTCACCCAATTAATGTGCATATAATCTATGTTTACCCTGATTTTTAAAAAAAGTGCACGTTTTTGTGTCAGGGATCATGTTTAGTAATAAGGTGGGGATCGAGTTTTGGTTGAGGTTAGGGTTGGGATTGAACAGATAATGGTTAAGTTTAGGGAAAAGGGTCCCGGGTTAGGCTGTAGAGATGAATGGAAGTCAAAGATAGTGAGAGTAGTTTGTGTGTGCTGTAAATGTCTGTATATATTGTTGTGCTTGAAAGTTTACATACCTTCCCATTAAAGATAATAAATTCACACTAGTAATAAAATAAAACAAAACAAAAAAATAAATAAATACACATATACTAAATGATAATTTAGTAAAATAAAATATTCATCTTTTAGTTTTCATAAAAAAAAAAAACACTATCCCACACACATAAAGTACCTTGCTGTTGTTCATTGAAGCAACATACCTGTCAACAAGTGCAGATGTCTGACTGAACATTTTCTGAACATCACAGAAAACACCTAATTAAAAAAAAAAA